TGATGATTTTTGAGCGGGGTATATGCTGGACCAGGAGTTAAAGATTGTGCTGGAGAACAGTTCTACTGCTGCTGATGGCCCACAATGCCTCACGGATGCCCAGTCTTGAGTTGCTATATCTGTGCGAAGACTGTCCCATTAAGCACAGTGATAGTGCCACAAAACACGATGGAGGTTATTGTCAATGTGAAAGTAGGACAACGTCTCCACAAGGGCTGTGCAGTGGTCGCTCTTACCAATACTGTTATGGACAGATGCATCTACAGCTGGCAGACTGGTAAGGATGAGGTCAAGTATGTTTTTCCCTCTTGTTGGTTTCCTCAACACCTACCGCAGACCCAGTCAAGCAGCTACATCCTTTAAGACCCAACCAGCTCAATGAGTAATACTGCTACCACGCCACTCTTACTGGTGGAAAATGAAATCCCCCACCCAGAGTACATTTTGTGCTCTTGCCATCCTCGGTGCTTCCTCTAAGTGTTATTCAACATGGAGGAGTGCCGATTCATCAGCTGAGGAAGCATGGTATTTGGTGATCAGGAGGACATTTCCTTGCCCATGTTTCACTTGAAGCCATGAGACTTCATGGGGTCTGGAGTCAATGTTGAGGACTCCCAGGGGCAACTCCCACCGGATTCTGTACCACCATTTCTGCTGGGTCTGTCCTGCCGGTGAGACAGGACATATCCAGGGATGGTAATAGTGATGCCGGGGACATTGTCTGTAAGGTATGATTCCGTGAATATGACTATGTCAGGCTATTGCTTGACGAGTCTAAGAGACTGCTCTCCCAATTTTGGCATGAGCCCCAAGATTTAGTCAGGAGGACTTTGCAGAGTCGACAGAGCTATTTCTGCCATTGTCTTTTCCAGTACCGAGGTTGATGCCAGGCGATCAGTCCGGTTTCATTTCTTCGAGACTTTGTAGTGATTGGTACAACTGAATGGCTTGCTAGGCCATTTCAAAATCAACCACATTGCTGTGGGTCTGTGAGGATGGCAGATTTCCTTCCCCGAAAGACATTAGCGAACCAGATGGATTTTTCTGACAAGTGACAATGATTTCATGGTGTTCAGTAGATTCTTAATTCCAGATTTTTTTTTTTGGACTACTAAGAGGCATTTAATGAGGTACCTTACAAAAGGTGAAACTATAAGGCAAGAACCCATGATGCTGAATGTAGCACACTGGCATGGACAAAGAATTAGCTAATGGGCAGGGAACAGTGAGTGGAGAAAGGGGTTCTTTTCAGGTTAGCCAAGTGTAAACAGTGGGGCTCCACAGGGACCACAACTGCTTACAATATATATTAATGACTTGGAGGAAAGAAGCCAATGTACTGTAGTCAGATTTGCAGACAACATTAAAAAAAATGGAAAAACAAGTTGCGCAAGGGATGTTAACATCTTACAGCGAGATATTGATAGGTTAAGTGGACAAAAAGGTAGCAAATGGCGTATTGTGTGGGGAAACGTGAAGTTGTTCATTTTGGTAGGGCGAGCATAAGAACAGTATTATTTAAATGGAGGAAAAACTACAGAAAGCTGAAACACAGAGGCTTAGAGATACTTGCATGCAAAACAGAAAGCTAGCACACAGACGCAGCAGGTAATCAGGAAGGCTAATGGAATGTTTGTCCTTGAGAGCTAGAGCATAAATGCAGGAAAGTCTTACTGCAACTGCACAAGGTGCTAGTGAGACCACAACTCGAGTACTGTGAGGAGTTCTTGTTCACTTAAGGAAAGATATAATTTCATTGGAGGCAGCTCAGATCAGGTTGACTGGGATGACTCCTGGTATGGCGGGATTGCCATTTCAGCAATGGTTAAACAGCCTAGATAAGACAGCTGAATTCACATGACCTGATGAAGTGTATCCCAAGACTTGGTGGGAGGCTCGGGAGGAAATTGTGGGGCTCCTGGCGGAGATACTTGTATCATCGAGAGCTGTGGTTAAGTGCCTGAAGATTGAAGGGTGGCTAATGTTGTGCCATTATTTAAGAAAGATGGTCGGGAAAAGCCTGGGAACTATAGACCAATGAGGCTAACGTCTGTGGTGGGCAAGTTGCTAGAGGGGATTGAGAGACAGGATCTACAGGCATTTGGAGGGGCAAGAACTCAGTTGAGTTAGTCTGCGTGGAAAATCATATCTCACGAATTTTATTGAGTTTTTTCAAGTGGCAACCAAGAAAGTAGATGAGGGCAAAGGGGTAGACATCTACATGGACTTTAGCAAGGCCTTTGACAAGGTACCACATGGTAGGTTGTTGATAAAGGTTGAATCTCTCAGGATCCAGGGAGAGCTAGCCAATTGGATACAAAATTGGCTTCACGATAAAAGAGAGGGCAGTGGGAGAGGCTTTTCAGACTGGAGACCCTGTGACCAGCGGTGTGTCACAGGGTCACTGGATCCACTGTTATTCGTTATTTACATAAATGATTTGGATAAGAATTTAGGAGGTATGGTTAGTAAGTCTGTGGACGACAACAAGATTGGTGGTATCGTGGACAGTGAAGAAGTTTATCTGGGAATGCAGCGAGATCTTGATCAACTGGGCCAGTGGGCTGAGCAATGGCAGATGGAGTTTAATTTAGATATACGCAAGGTTTTGCGTAAGGTGTTTGGTGGGTCAAACCAGGACAGGACTTACACAATCAATGGCAGGCGCTGGGGAGTGTTACAGAACAAAGATATTCTAGGGGTACAGGTTGACAGCTCCTTGAAAGCAGAGTCACAGGTGGACAGGATGGCGAAGGCAGCTTTCGGCATCATCAATCAGAGCAGTGAGTACAGGTAAAAACCAAAAGAACTGCAGATGCTGTAAATCAGGAACAAAAACAAAGTTGCCGGAAAAGCTCAGCAGGAAGGGTCTGTTCCAACGAAGGGTCACCGGACCCGAAATGTTAACTCTGTTTTCTCCTCCACAGATGCTGCCAGTGAGTATAGATCTTGTACGGTTGAAACAAGATGTCCCAAGATGTTGATACAGCCACATTTAGAGTACTGGCTGCCCTACTATGGAAAAGGATATTATTAAACTAGGAAGTGTGCACAAAAGATTTACTAGGATGCTACCTGGACTGGAAGGTTTGAGTTATAAGGAGAGGTTGGATAGTCTGGGACTTTTCCTCTGGAGCCTGAGGGCTGATCTTATAGAGGTCTATAAACTCATGAGGCATAGATAAGATAGATCGTCAACAGTTTTTCCTCATGGGAAGGGAGTCTAAAATTAGAGGGCCTAGGTTTAAGGTGAGAGGGGAGGCATACAAAAGGGTCCAGAGGGGCAATTTTTCCACACAGAGGGTGGTGAATGTCTGGAACAGGCTACCAAAAGTGGTGGTGGAAGAGAGCACAATTTTGTTACTTAAGAAACAGGGTGGCACGGTGGCTCAGTGGTTAGTACTGCTGCCAGGGATCTGGGTTCGATTCCAGCCTTGGGCGACTGTCTGCGTGGAGTTTGCACATTCTCCCTGTGTCTGTGTGGGTTTCCTCTCAGTACTCTGGTTTCCTCCCACAATCCAAAGAAGTGCAGGTTAGGTGGATTGGCCATGCTCAGTTGCCCATAGTGTCCAGGGATGTGCTGGCTAGATGCGTTTGTCATTGGAAATGTAGGGTTACAGGGATAGGGTTGGGGTGGGTCTAGGTGGGATGCTCTACGAAGGGTCGGTGTGAACTCAATGGGTCGAATGGCCTGCTTCCAAACAGTAGGGATTCTTAAAAAAAATTTAGACAGGTACATGGATGGGATAGGTATTGAGGGAAATGGACCAAACACAGACAAATGGGACTAAATTTAATTAATATAACTTCTTAGAATCCCTACAGCGTGGAAACAGGCGCTTGGCCCCAACAAGTCCACACCTGACCCTCAGATCATCCCACCCAGACCCATCGCCCGAGAACCCACCTAAATCGACACATCCCTGAACACTATGGACAACTTAGCATGGCCAATCCACCTAGCCTGCACATCTTTGGACTGTGGGAGGAAACCGGAGCACCCAGAGGAAACCCACGCAGACACGGGGAGAATGTGCAAACTCCACACAGACAGTGGCTCAAGGGTGGAATCGAACCCAGGCCCTTGGTGCTGTGAGGCAGCAGTACCAGCCACTGAGCCACGGTGCCGCCGCCAACAGTCCAGTGATGTTACCTCTAAGCTGTCACCTTTTTCTTTGTGAAAATTGGGCTGCATAGGCAAGTTGGACTGAAGGTCCTGCTTCCATGCTGTTGACCTCTAGGGCTATGACTCTACGTTAAGACTTTATTCACCGGAGTTAAAATGAGAGGTGATCTCGTTGAAACATATAGGATTTTTATGGGGCTTGATAGGGTAAAAGCTGAGAGGATGACTCCCCTCATTGTAGGACATAATATAAAGGGATGCCAATTTATGACAGAGACAAGGAGGAATTTCCTTTCTTAGAGATTTGATGTTCTTTAGAACTCCTTGCCACACAGAATTGAGAGGGCAGACTTCTTGTGCACATTTAGGGGAGCCAAGTGCCACTGACTTGGAACGGTTAACTGTTTTCTCTTTACAGATGCTACCAGACCTGCCGAATTTCTTCACCAATTTCTGTTTTTGTATGTCTCAGATTTCCAGCATCAGCAGCTCCTGGTTTTATTTTAGAGAAAGGACAGGAAAATAGACGTGAGGAATGTTGGAACAGACATGGAGCAGTTGGCTTGAGGAGCCAAATGACCTGCTCGTGTTCCTATTTCTTATGGTTTCAACAGATCAAGATTTATTAATTTTAGAAGATTTAGAACAAACAGTGTAAGATTAACTCCACTGATTGGTCAATAACTGAAGAGCTGGGACTGGAAGTATTAGCACTGAAAGGTCAATGGGAAGTCATTAAAAAAACACAAAGAAGGTATAAAATGGAGTATGTCACAATTGGTTTTTGAATCAGAGTCAATTATAACCTTTAATAATGAAATAGATAACTACTTTCAAAGAACAATTTGTTAAGACTACATCAACCCTATAATACCTGAAGGCTCAAATAAGGCCTGGACATCAATATCATCAGGAAGGCCAACTTGACTGAGCTCATCCCAATATCTGCTTGTCTGTTCTTCAGAAGCCACTGGAACATTAATACACGTAGAGATGGGCATTGCAGCATGGCAAGGAGACCTGATACAAAACAGTTCATGAAAAACTGAGCATAAAAGCATTTCAAAATATTTTTGCTTAAGATTCAACATATTTCTAAAGCTCTAATTTTATACCTGTACATTGTTTATAAATAGTTTGTACAATGAAGTATAATCTGCACAGCCAATGCTGTGAACTGTTCAGGACCTGTGATCAATAGAATGTTTAACATATAGTAAATTTATTGGTTTTATAAAAAATATAATCCGAGCAGTGGGCACATATCCTTTTTTTTCCTTTATTCATTAACAGGATGAGGGCGTCACTGGCTAGGCAACATTTATTGCCCATCCCCGATTGCCCAGACGGCAGTTAAGAGTCAACCACATTGCTGTGGGTCTGGAGTCACATGTAGGCCAGGCCAGGTAAGGATGGCAGTTTCCTTCCCTAAAGGACATTAGTGATCCTCCAGTTGATAGCATGAAATTTTCTGATTAGCTCCATAATTTCCTGAAAAGTAATTAAACCAAACAGCAAAATGCTCCCGAGTACAAATAAATTCAATTTAATTTGTTGCAATCATTGGAATTTCCAGATAAAGACAGAATCAACAAATGTGAAAAGACAATTGAGAGTTAATTATGAGACAATTGACACTCACTGATCACTTCATGTTTATCACTTTCACTTTATATGATGGATGTACAACAACTCAATGAAGTTTAAGTGATCACCACTTGACATTCAAAGGCACTACCACCACTGAATCCAATTCTCAAAATCATATGGGATTACCATCGACCAGACATTGAACTAGTCCAGCCATATGAATATTGTGGGTACACGAACAGGTCAGAGGCTACGAATTCTTCAATGAGTATCTCATTTCCTCACTCCCAAGGTCTACCTAAAAGGCACAAATCAGGAGTGTTACAGGAAACTTTCCACTTGCCTAAATGAGTGCAGTTAAAGAAGCTTGATGCCATCCAAGACAACGAAGTCCATTAGTCTCGCACCACATCCACAAATATTCACTCCCTCCACCACTGACTTCATTTAATTTCACTCACGGGACGAGGCCTTCTCTAGCTAGGCCAGTATTTATTATCCGTCCCTAACTTCTGGGAGTTAATCACATTGCTGTGGGTCTGGAGTCACTTGTAGGTCAGACCAAGTAAGGATAACAGTTTTCCTTCCCTAAAGGACATGAGTGAACTAGATGAGTTTTTCTGACAATCAATGGTTTCATAGTCATGCTTAGACCCTCAATTCCAGATTTTTATTCAATTCAAGTTCCTCCATTGTTATGAAGTTTGGAAGAGTATTTGATGTTTGTAAAACGATAGGGGGAAAGAGTGTGTGGTCCCTTTAAAATATGATGTGTTTTTCTAGGCTTGGAGATTTAAAACAATGTCTGCAGACAGCAGCAGATGTATCAAAAGGCTATACTGTTAGCAGGCAAAGCAGCATTTTTACCAAGGCAACAGGTTTTTGAATTTAGCCAATTAATTTAAATGAGGCCCTAGATATAAAACACAATTAAATTTAAACCTGATGGTTTTGAAACCTAGGACCAACCCTACTGTAAGAAAATAATAGGTAATCAAGGGAATAAGAGATGACAACATTTGAAAATCATGAGAGTCAACTGTTATCTGCCAAAAAAATAGCTCTCACTGGCTCTCGCAGAATTCTCTAAGCTCTCAGAAAACCATCATCTAAACTTAAGGTACAGCGGCACTCTTAGCTAATATGCCTGACACAAGAATTCGATGAACAAAGGCACTCCTAACTGAGGATCAGTAGAGGGGGTGCAGAGCATTCAAGACGACTTATCCTGGCTGTAATTTTGAAGAGACTAAGTTTTAATTTATTTTATTACTTGCATTATAAAAGTGGGACTTGTATTTACTGGAACCGCATACCATTAGAATTTTTGTTTCTTTGGGAATAGTTAGTAGGCAAGGGGGAATTGTTTGGTTTGTTGGTAGTTCGGTTAATTAGTTTACTGTTAAAAGTTAGATAAATAAATTGTTACTTGTTACTTATAAAGTGACTGCTAGGAGTTCATTTCATTTAACCACACTTTCCATAACAGATGGGGGCTTGAGTCCAAAACCTGGCAGGATTGTACACAGGATCTGAATGGATTTGGACAGATCTGCAGTACGAAAGGTCCAGCAGATTTAAACAGACTTGGGGATTTGGGTCCTAGATCTGTAAAATACAGCTGAGGTGAGAAATGTAAAATCTGTTTAATTTCAGTTACTTGTGGTTGGTTCAATCAACAGTTGGGAAATAGCTCTTAACATTGCTAAGGAGGTTCTGGGGTTTAAGGATGCTTCACAAATCTGCCAAGAAAATTTAGTTAGACAGAGGAAGGATATATTATTAGACTTCGGAAACAGGCTAGATTTCAGTTGAAACATTTAAGTGATGAGAAGAAACAGGAACGTAGCATTGGTGACAGACAACGTAACTAGGGGAACAAATCCTATTCTCTGCAGCTGTGAGCAAGAGTACCAGAGTTGTGCTACCTGCCTCTTAGAAGGTTAAGCCGCTCGGAGCTGGTGAAGGACCTGCAGTGGGAGGGGAGGGATCCAATTATCTCTGCCCATATTGACTTTGATAAAATTAAAAAGGAGGAGTTTTTCCGAGAGATTTTGAGCAGTTCGGAGCCAAATTTAAAAAGGAAACCTCCAAGCTAATAATCTCAGGATTTCTACCTTCGCCATGAGCTAATGAGTAAATCAAGTCATTCCCTTAAATGTGTAGCTCAAACTTTTGTGCAGTAGGAATGGGGTTCAGTTTATGGAGCAGTATTGGGGTAGGTGGGAGCTGTTCTGGCATGGTGGTTTTACTTGGTATGTTCTGGGACCAGTGCCTGGGTGAATTGAATAACTAAGGTTGTTGAGAAAACTTTAAATGAATTAGAAGGCATAGGGAGAGCTTGGGAAAGGGAAAATGTAGGCTTGCAGAGCAAAATATGGTAGCATTAGGGCAAGACTGAACAGGAATGGACGGAATGTATAAACATAGAAAAACAGCAACAGGGTCAAGTGGGGGTGGCAAAAATTATACAAAGACAGATTTAGTGATTTTTTACAAAACGAATGAATGGCACAAATAAGAGTTAATGATTATGTTCTTATAACTGTTATACGCATGTTTATAGCATGATCAAAACTGAGAACTACATATTCAAGGATATGTGACTTTTTGAAAGGACGGGCAGGAAGAACAGGGTGGTGGGGTAGATTTGTTAGCACAAGATGGAATAAGTTTGATAGCAAGCAATGATATTGAATGGGAAGATGTAGAATTCACATGGGTGAGGAAGAAATAAGGGGAAAAAGATACTGGTGGGGAGTAGCCTTTGGGCTCCTTTAACAGTAACTGTTTGAGAGGGCAGAGAATAAATCAGTGGATAATGAAGTAAAAACAAAAGCAGTTCATCAATCTTCAGTGACTTTAATCTCCATTTATAGATTGGGGAAAACCAAACAGGCAGACATAGCCACAAAGAAGAACACTTGAGTGTATTCAGGGCAATTTCTTAGAACAAGTTATTGTAGATCCAACCAGGGATGAGGCTATTTTGGATCATGCAATGTGTAATGAGACAAGTTCGATAGATGATCTCAGAGTAACAGAGAGCTGATATCACTGGACTGTTCATCCAGAGACCCAGGTAATGTTCCAATCCCGCCAAGGCAGATGGTGGGATTTGAATTCAATTTTTAAAAAATGTGGAATTAGGAGTCTAATGATGGCCATGACTGTTGGAAAAAACCCATCTGGCTCATTGCAAAGGGGTAGTGTGTCTGTGGGGTGGGCTGCCAAAGGAAGTGGAGGAGGCTGGTGCAGTTGCAACATTTGAAAGGCATCTGGATGGGTATATAAGTGGGAGGGGTTTGGAGGGATGTGGGCCAGGTGCTGGTAGCTGGGATTAGATTGACTGGGGATATCTGGTCAGAATGGACGATTTGGACCAAAGGGTCTGTTTCTGTGCTGTACATTTCTATGACTCTATATCCTTTAGGGAAGGAAGTGGCCATCCTTACCTGGTCTGGTCTACATTTGACTCCGGACCATATCAGGAGGTGGTTGACTGTCAACTTTTTTGGGCGTTTAGGGATGGGCAACAAATGCGGACGCCGCCGATGGGTGAATGAATAAAAACAAAAAATATCCCCTAGGACCATAACATGACACAATTTAGCATTCAGTGAAGAGAAGAAACTTGGGTCAAAAGCAACTGTTAATCAAGGGTAATTACACAGGGAGAAGAGCAGATTTGGCTGTAGTGGACTGGGCAAGTGGTTTCAGCAGAAAAAGCAGTTGATAAACAATGAAAGATATTTAAGAAAATAGTTCATAGCTCATAACAAAGATATAGCTTGTTAAAGAAGGGGATAAATGGGCCATGATCAACCAAGGACGTTACTACTATCAAATTCAAAGAAAAAATATACCGTGTGGCAAAGATCAGTGGTAACAGAATTTGGAACTGTTAAAACCAAAAACAAAAGACCAAAAAAAAAATTAAATAAACCGAGTTAGCAAGTAATATCAAAATAGGCAGCACAAGCTCAAACTTTCTAAAAATGGAATAGAAAGACTAAAATGAACATAAAAACCAAAAGAACTGTGGCGACTGTAAATCAGGAACAAAAACAAAGTTGCTAGAAAAGCTGACAGATAGTAGGAACTGCAGATGCTGGAGAATCTGAGATAACAAGGTGTAGAGCTGGATAAACACTGCAGGCCAAGCAGCATCAGAGGAGCAGGAAGGCTGACGTTTCGGGCCTAGACCCTTCTTCAGAAATGGGGGAGGGGAAGGGGGTTCTGAAATAAATAGGGAGAGGGAGGGGGAGGCGGACAGAAGATGGATAGAGGAGTAGATAGGTGGAGAGGAGACAGACCGGTCAAAGAGGCAGAGATGGAGCCAGTAAAGGTAAGTGTAGGTGGGGAGGTGGGGAGGGGATAGGTCAGTCCAGGGAGGACGGACAGGTCAAGGGGGCGGGATGAGGTTAGTA